GGGGAAACTGGAAGTAAAATTGAAATGAGACAGCAGATTAAAGCTGTTGTAGGGAATTTGCATTTAATAAGTTTTATTTATTTTAATTGTCCATGTATTCTCTGCTTGGGAACTTTCAAATGCTTTGACACCTATGTGTCTGGGTTAAACAGCAAAGTCGTATCAGGAAAACATACATATTATAACAGATCTTGGTCTCAAGTAAGACAATATTGTATCAGCCAAAAGGCTGAAGCAGAAATCAGAAAGGTTTTGAGAAATGACTGCTGAATGAAAATATAAAATAAAAAAAGTAAATGCTTTTAATTAAAAACTGAGTTTGCACACTTGAAACTAAGTGTGCAGCAGTTGGACAGCTGATTTGAGGTTTTCTGTCCTCTTTGGAATGTAAACATTAACATCGACTCAGGCTTTCAGAGCCAGTAGAGATAAAAGTAGGATACTGCTGACACAGCCTGCTCGGCCAGCCTTGCTCACTTTAGAATTGGGAGAAATAAATTATGCAGTTTCAGACTGAAACATTTAAATGTTGGTAGATTTTAAACAACTTAATGAACACATTTATTGCTGAACACATCAAATACATTTATTTAAATTTGAATTGAGTAAATTTAGTGAATGACCAAATATTTCTTTTTTTTAAGGGCAAACGGTATGACATTGCCTACGTTTCATAACTTGAGTTTCATAAAACATGATAAAGTTTACAAATCTTTGTTACACAACTGAATTTATTTCATGAATGGTGTTTAAATGTTGAAGATTAGATTGTTTGTTGATTGAATTGTTGAGCCGAACCTCGCTGTCTCCTTATCATAACCCAAACAGAAAGAGACTGCTAGTGACTGCTAGGCGACCTGACCTCTTCAGACACACAGGGGTCGGTGGAGCCTGACACTTCTCCGAGTGAGATAGTCAGCTGATTCCTCTTGACAATCTGTTAACTATCTGACGCTTGTGCGTCTGTTGAACACCAATGAAACTTGATTATGAGAGTAAACAGAATAACATTAAGCAGAGTGTGACCCCTGACAGAAGGTTAAATGCACAGAACTGAGATGTAGGGCTGCTCGATTATGGCAAAAATAATAATCACGATTATGGTGACTGAAATTGAGATCACGATTATTTAGGACGATTTTTCAATTTATGTTGATTTTATTTGTTTTCATTCAGTCATAAAATTGCTCAGGGCACAACCAGGACAAAAATAAGAAACAAGATTATCACTAAAATAACTCCTGATTCCCAGTATAAAAAGACCAGTATACTTATAGCTCATAGTCTATGACCCAAGGGCCATAGACCTTGGTTTAACTCATGTAAGTCTAACCAGTACAGACCCAAATACCAATATCTTGCAAATACTGACAGCAAGAATTATACAGTGGCATTTATAACATATAAATGCAAATAAATTGATGTTCACAAAATGTTGCATAACATTTATTGAGTCGTGTCAAGGTGCTGTATGAGAGTACACTAGCACCGTGTCCTCAGAGAGATTAGTTATTATTTATCAGCATGAGGAAGTTATTTCTACCTTATTTATAAACTATTTATTTACAAGTCCATCAGTTAATGTAATAATTGTCCCAACCACAGCTGCACCCCCCAACCCGGTCTCAGCAATCAGTGGCAAGCTGCACGTGTGTTTAGCGCGCCGCACGCGCACATTTAGCTGTTTTTAGTGGCTCAGGAGTCCGCAGGTACGGTGTGTGTCACTCACTCTGGTTACTCCAACAGGGAGCCGGCTCCGAGAGCTGTTTCTTTAGCGACTGACACATCACTACATCATTCCCTTTCCTAATGTCCTGAAGAACGGTCCGGAGCGCAGGCGGAGTGTTTAGCTAACCTGCAGGAAACATCGACGACAGTTATCCAGAAAGGAGCTAAGGGTTACCAGAGATGTTTCTGAGGTGTTCACTAGGTACTTTTAAGATTTAAAAAGTCAATAAGGGGGTCTGAAAAGCTGTTGGAAAAAGCGTCAAAGTCGCCAAGTTGGCAACACTGTGGGAGGAGCGCTTCATTTGCAGCTCGGGGCAGTGCAAGTGGGAGGAGCAAATAATCGGCTCGTTTTGTTTTTATAATCGTTCAAAACTCAGATCGTAATCGTGATTAAAATTCGATTAATTGAGCAGCCCTACTGAGATGTCAAATTTAGGAGTGATGATAAATGTTTTGTTTTTGAACTTACACTAATCAAACTTTTATGAGTACTGATTATGCCCTTTTAAATCATCATCTATGAATAACCTAGTTCGCTCCCTCGAGCAGATTTTTAAATACTACAATTAACCCAATATCATTAGAGATCACCCAATATCTTCAGAAGCACTATCTATTGTAGGTAGATGGATTTTTGAGTTACCATAGGTTTTTCTTTTACATTATGTTATGACCTTGAGACTTTTCTAACACAGGAGTCTTCTAAACAAATTTCCTTGTTTATGACTGAAGTTACCTAAACCTTGATTTAAGTGTTCATAACTTCTGTAGAATTGATTTTGAATCAGTTACTTCTATATGAGGATGCTGAAATTAACTATATATTTGTAGAATCTAGTTCTCTACTAGTTATGAAGAGTATAGAAGTTGTGTGTATACCTCTACCTTGTATTAGCCAATCTATATAGTTTCTAAACTAACTGTTTATGTAATTAAATATTGAACTTCTGTGCAGGTTGGTGAACATTTTCTGTTATTTCTGGTAAATCTTTACTTTGCCTCTACTTTGGACCTAATCAGCTCCCACTTTGTCACCTTCTTAATTCAACAAAGAGAGAGCAGCTCTCGCCCTTGACTCATCGTCATTGTTTTGCTTTTGCTAGACAAGCATTATGAGATGACACTTGTCCTAAATGGCCTTTAGATTTGATAAGTGGCATGATGACCTAATGCTATTCTTTGATGGTCACATTATGGTATGAATAACCTATTTCATGTACTTCTAGTAGTTTTTGAATTAATTCTTGCTGTTTTCCAATTATAAATACTTCAGTTGTTATCCCTCTGCTTGATCTTTTAACTAAATTATAGCTCTTCCTCAGAGCGTTTTATACAGTGTACATTTTTACAAATGACAAATTACGACTTACTTCAAACGTCTTTTCCTTTCCTGAAAAATTATCATCTTTTCAAACACCTTTAGGGTTGTGTGTATCTAGGAACACCATCAGTTGTTTTATTTTTGATCGTTCACTGTCTCTATGTGACAGATGAGTTTTATTTTCCTTAGAAAATTCTGTTGTCCGATTTCACTTACGGAGCTTTAATTTAGCAGTATTTATCTCCTGTTGACAAATTATACACATTATTTGAGTAGCATTATTGGGTGACATTGTCAGTGTTGGGAAAGTTACTTTAAATTAGTAATGTAGTTACATTACTAGTTACTCCTTTCAAGAGTAACTCAGTTACTTTAAGTTACTCATTAGTTTCTAAGTAAATAGTTACTAGGGAAAGTAACTGTTTTTATTCTGATTTTTCTTATTAAAATGTGTTACTTCCTTAACTGGATAGCCAGCAAGGTTGCTGGTCTTCTTGCTTGCTTACATGGTAGCCCTATCCTGCCACAAGTTCACTGCGCCACCTAGTGGTCTGAACATAAAATGGCATCTGGATCCCAGACTCAAAGCGGGGCTCTCACACACGTGACTAGCATAAAAGTTTCATAGGTAAAGTAGGCGTGCTCCAAAGTGAAGCCAGAGGACACTGCCAGTCCAGCGGCTGGTCTCTATATTAGGAGGTTTCTGTTGCTCACACACTGGTGTTACAGAAAAGAGCTGACCCCCTTGGAGTAGCCGCAACCCTCTTTATCAAAGGCTAAATTATCACTCTAGTTTTTGTTGTTAAGAATAACACTTTCAGTTATTTCATCAAACTATCTTGGCTGATCATAAATACAAAACTGTGCAGTTTCTTTTTCAAGCATTTTCAAGGTCTTAATACAGAAATCAAGCACTTTCCAAACCTTAAAAACACGCTATTAAAATTCAAGCATGTTCAAGGATTTCAAGCACTCGTTTGAACCCTGAATAACATGTTCTTTTGAGGGGGTACCAGTTATGATGCAAGTTAAAGAGTTCTGTATGAGTTGGAGTTTACGATTTGGGATTGAAAAAACTAGGAAGATGCAATGATCCATGAGAGAGGTGATGAGACTATGGACAAGGATTGCAGCAGCACAGGGAGTAAGAAAGGGACACAGTCTGTTAATATTGAGTAAGCGGAAGTAGGCAGACCGTTTAATATGATACATATGAGACTGAAATGACCAGTGAGTATGACACCGAAGCTCTTTAAGTGGGGATAGCGGAGGACGATGGAGGTATCAATATTAATGTAGAAGCTGCGCGATATGTTAACCCTCCCACTCTCCTATCGGGTGACCCTCCAGGAAAGGTAACCATTGAGCAGGGTTGATGGTTTATACCCTGAGGTCCACGTGGCAGTGAACACCACTTCACCCTCACTAGCGACAGTTTTAACAGTAGCTAATGGGGATCTTATTAAACAAACAAACTACTGTATCCGCTATGGTTGTGTTCAGCACCTTGGGCTTCTGCTAAGGTTGTGGAAGGTGCTTTATAATAAATGAAATGAAAATCATTGATGATTTTCACCAAAGCTGTTTCTATGACGGGGTCGAAAACCAGATTGAAATTGTTCTTAAGAGGTTGTAGTAATTGAGGTATGATTAAAGCTGAGAAACAACAACTTTCTCAGGGATTTTGGAGGTCAAAAGAAGTTTAAATATTGGAGAAAGATTATCAAAATTATTGGGACTTTGTTCCATTTTACCTGTTGCATCAAATGAATCAACTGAAAGTAGAAACATTTTTTCTTCTACAGATTACAACACAGTTAAGCGTTGGCCCTTAACACATACAGGAATGAAATGATGCGTGTAGAAGTTATTTATGCTTGTCATTTATTTGTTAAGCAGTTTTTTTCCCAGTCTTGTGTTGCTTAACAGAAATGAAAGGTGTGTGTATTACCGCAGGGTTGAGTGGTAGTAGCGCAGCAAGCAGGTCAAAGTGTTGGCTGAACATGCTTCACTTGCCCACACCTGAACTCTTGTGCACACTTGCAACACTGACCTCCCACCACGATCTTTATTTCCTGGAAAAGAGAAGGCAGGAAGGATTAACCACCTTTACCCCAACAAGGACAAAGCTGTAATGTACAGAAGGAAAGATCCCAAACATGGCAATTTAATTAAAAACTAAGGGGTAAAAATATCGTCGTCGTTGTCGTCTTCCTCCACTTATCCGGGTCCGGGTCGCAGGGGCAGCATCCCAACTAGGGAGCTCCAGACTGTCCTCTCCCCGGCCACCTTCACCAGCTCCTCCGGCAGGACCCCAAGGCGTTCCCGGACAAGATTGAGATCTGTCCTCTCCAACGTGTCCTGGGTCGACCCGTGGGTCTCCTGCCGGCAGGACATGCCCGAAACACCTCCCCGGGGAGGCGTCCATGAGGCATCCTGACCAGATGCCCAAACCACCTCAACTGGCTCCTTTTGATCCGGAGAAGCAGCGGTTCTACTCCGAGTCCCTCCCGAATGTCCGAGCTCCTCACCCTATCTCTAAGGCTGAGCCCGGCCACCCTACAGAGGAAACTCATTTTGGCCGCTTGTATCCGCGATCTTGTTCTTTCGGTCGTTACCCAAAGCTCATGACCATCGGTGAGGATTGGGACGTAGATCGACCGGTAAATTGAGAGTCTGGCTTTCTGGCTCAGCTCCCTCTTCACCACGACAGATCGGCTCAGCGTCCGCATCACTGCAGATGCTGAACCATTCTGCCTGTCGATCTCCCGATCCCTCCTACCCTCACTCATGAACAAGATCCCGAGATACTTAAACTCCTCCACTTGAGGTAGGACCTCTCCTCCGACCCAGAGTTGGCAAGCCACCCTTTTCTGGTCGAGAACCATGGTCTCAGATTTGGAGGTGCTGATCCTCATCCCAGCCGCTTCACACTCGGCAACCTACCCAGCAAGAGCTGAAGGTCAGAGCTGGATGAAGCTAGGAGGACCACATCATCCGCAAAAAGCAGAGACGAGATTCTGCTGCCACCAAACTCGACACACTCCACACCACGGCTGCGTCTAGAAATTCTGTCCATAAAAGTGATGAACAGAACCGGTGACAAAGGGCAGCCCTGGCGGAGTCCAACCCTCACTGGGAACATGTCCGACTTACTACCGGCTATGCGGACCAAACTCACGCTCCTCTGGTAAAGGGACTGAATGGCCCTTAACAGAAAGCCACCCACCCCATACTCCTGGAGCGTCCCCCACAGGGTGCCCCTGGGGACACAGTCATAAGCCTTCTCCAAATCCACAAAACACATGTGGATTGGTTGGGCAAACTCCCATGCCCCCTCCATCACCCTTGCAAGGGTATAGAGCTGGTCCACAGTTCCATGGCCAGGACGAAAACCACATTGCTCCTCCTCAATCTGAGATTCAACTATCGATCTGACCCTCCTCTCCAGTACCTTGGAGTAGACCTTTCCAGGGAGACTGAGGAGTGTGATCCCCCTATAGATGGAACACAACCTCAGGTCACCCTTCTTAAAGATGGGGACCACCACCCCGGTCTGCCACTCCACAGGAACTGCCCCCGATGACCACGCAATGTTGCAGAGACGTGTCAACCATGACAGCCCTACAACATCCATAGCCTTGAGATACCCAGGACGAACCTCATCCGCTCCCGGGGCTCCGCTGCTGTGTAGTTGTTTGACTACCTCAGCAACTTCTGCCCTCAAGATTGGACAGTCCATCCCCAGGTCTCCTGGCTCTGGTTCCTCCTCGGAATGTGCATAGGTGGGATTAAGGAGCTCCTCAAAGTATTCCTTCCACCGCCCGACTATAGCCCCAGTTGACGTCAGCAGCTCCCCATCCCCACTGTAAACAGTGTGAGCGAGTTGCTTCCTTCCTCTCCTGAGGCGCCGGACAGTTTGCCAAAATCTCTTTAGGGCCGATCGATAGTCTTTCTCCATGGCCCTACCAAACTCCTCCCACGCCCGAGATTTTGCCTCGGCAACTGCCACTGCTGCACCCCGCTTGGTTATCCTGTATCTGTCTGCTGCCTCCGGAGACCCACAGACCAGCCACGCCCTATAGGCCTCCTTCTTCAGCCTGACGGCTCCCCGAACCTCTGGTGTCCACCAGCGGGTACGGGGGTTGCCACCACGACTGGCACTGGCCACCTTGCGACCACAGCTAGCAACAGCCGCCTCAACAATCGCAGAGTGGAACAAGGCCCACTCGGATTCAATGTCCCCCACTGCTCTCGGGACGCGGTCAAAGCTCTGCCGGAGGTGGGAGTTGATGACCGTCTTAACAGGTTCTTCTGACAGGCGTTCGCAGCAGACCCTCACTATATGTTTGGGTCTGCCAGGTCTACACGGCATCTTCCCTTGCCATCTGATCCAACTCACCACCAGGTGGTGATCAGTTGACAGCTCCACTCCTCTCTTCACTCGGGTGTCCATAACATACGGCCGCAGGTCAGATGATACGACTACAAAGTCTATCGTCGACCTGCGACCTAGACCGTCCTGGTACCAAGTGTACCGATGGGCATCCTTATGTTCAAACAGGGTGTTTGTTTTGGCCAAACTGCAGCTTGCACAGAAGTCCAATAAAAAAACAACACTCGAGTTCAGATCAGGCGGGCCGTTCCTCTCAATCACACCCCTACACGTCAAGGTGTCATTGTCCACATGAGCATTGAAGTCCCCCAGCAGGACAATGGAGTCCCCTGATGGAGCATTATCTAGCACTCATCCCAGGGACTCCAAAAAGGGTGGGTACTCTGAACTGATATTTGGCCCATAAGCACAAACAACAGTCAGGACACGTTCCCCGACCCTAAGGCGTAGGGAAGCTACCCTCTTGTCCCCTGGGGTAAACCCCAACATTCAGGCAGAGAGTCTTGGGGCTAACAAAAGCTAACCCCAGCCCTCCAAGGGGGCACTTACAACATAGCTCCTAGGATCATTAGGGCACTCAAACTCCTCCACCACGATAAGGTGACGGTTCAAGGAGGAGGGGTAAAAATATCTAAAAATAAAATAACTGAAGCTAAATATGCATCAACATAAGACACTATTTAAAAATAACAATATAAAGTGTGTTTCATGCTGATATTGCCTTACGAATTTCATATACAATTACAGTCCCGATCAAAAGTTTAGAACCACTTGAAAAATTGCCCAAAATGATATTTTGCATAGTTGAATCTAAATAAGGTTCGAAGTAGAGCTTCAACATGCATCAAGAAGAAATTAGAGTGAGACTAAACACTTTATAGTTTAGTGCCTGGTCGCTGCTCGTGCGGTCGACCGGCCAGACAGCTGAGCAGTTACGGCGTTCTTTTAAAATTTTAAACTAAAACTCTTTTTAAACTTTTTAACTTTTCAACTCTATCGCTCCTTCTGTGTTTTTCTTTATTTTTGGATCATGACCTCAAGGCTCTGCTATACCAGAGACTTCCTCACTGATCTGCAGCGGCAACCCAGACAACAGCCTTTCCGCCCTGTTCCTACGGATTTCTTTCCCGAGGAAATACTCTGTGGACTCGGAAATCTGACACCTCATAAACACAAGGTGAACAGGAGGGGATTAAAGAAGGGTGGTGTGAGAGCGAGACTCAAGAGGGAAACACACAAACAACGAGCGCTCCCGTCCATTATCCTGGCTAATGTCCGGTCTCTCCGTAACAAGCTAGACGAGCTGCAAGCTTGCGTCAACCACTTGCATGAGTACCGAACTGCTTCTGTTCTGGCTTTCACGGAGTCATGGTTAAACAACAGTGACGATGACAGCACGCTGCACATTTATGGCTTTTCACCACCTTTTCGCCTGGACAGAGACCACGAATGCACCGGGAAGCAACATGGTGGCGGTATATGTCTCTATGTAAACAACAGCTGGTGCTCTACAGTCACTGTGAGGGAGAAGTTGTGCACCACAGATATCGAGCTTCTGGCTGTTTCCCTGCGCCCCATTATCTTCCCAGAGAATTCCCACAGCTTTTCATCATCTTGGTCTACATTCACCCCAGAGCTGATGCTGCCAAAGCCACAGAGAACCTCATTAGCAGTCTGGATATATTGGAACAATTATCACCAGACTCTCCCAAGTTCATCCTGGGTGATTTTAACCACTGCTCCCCTGACAAGTCGCTTAAAGTTTTCCAACAATATGTTACATGCAGCACATGTCAGGGGAAGACTCTGGACAAATGCTTTGGCTCAGTTCCAGATGCATTTAAAGCCCTCTCCCTCCCCCCTCTTGGCTCAGCAGACCACCACACCATCCTGCTAGCCCCTGCTTACACCCCAGTCAACAAGAGGATTAAAAAGGTAAATGGTAAATGGCCTGTATTTGATATAGCGCCTTCTAGAGTCCTGGAACCCCCCAAGGCGCTTTACAACACAATCAGTCATTCACCCATTCACACACACATTCACACACTGGTGGGGATGAGCTACGGTGTAGCCACAGCTGCCCTGGGGCGCAATGACAGAGGCAAGGCTGCCGAGCACTGGCGCCACCGGTCCCTCCGACCACCACCAGCAGGCAACGTGGGTTAAGTGTCTTGCCCAAGGACACGACGACAGCGACAGACTGAGCGGGGCTCGAACCTGCAACCTTCCGATTGCAAGGCGAGCACTTAACTCCTGTGCCACCGTCGCCCCAGGTGACCAAAAGCATCCAGCAGTGGACAGCGGAAAGTATTCTCACCCTACAAGGATGTTTTGAGGCCACTGACTGGGTCAGCCTTCTTTCTTCCTCTGGTGACATCAACGATCAAGTCGACACAGTATCATCATACATCTCCTTCTGTGTAGACAGCATCATCCCCTCAAAAAAAGTCACCATCTACCCCAACAACAAACCTTGGATCACCAAGGAGCTAAAGGAAATCCTTAACAAAAAAAGAGGATTTTCTTCGCCGGTTCTGCACAGGATAAGAAAGAAGTCAACAGGGAGGTCAAGAGGGCCATTAAAGCTGCTAAACTGAAGTATAAAAACAATGTGGAAAAAAAAATTACCACTTGGGACCTTCGCTCAGCCTGGCAGGGGCTCAAAACCATGGCTGCTGT